GGGCACTCGGGCTCCTCCTACCTGAACACGGTGCAGAGGTACGAGCCCATCTCGGACACGTGGCTGGACTCCGCGGGGATGATGTACTGCCGCTGCAACTTCGGCCTCACCGCGCTCTGAGGGAGGCGGGACCCGCCCGCCGCCCCGCTGCCGAGAGGGAGCCGGAGCTGCCTGGATACGATCCTGCCGCGGGCCCGGAGCTGCCAGCTGAGGAACCTGCCGAGGTTGGGATCAAAATGAGGATTTGTTTTCTTCCCATAATTGGCCTTTGTTCTTTCAGCAGCAAAGGGATGGAAAGCTGCTTCACCAGCTGGCTTTAGCTGGCCCCCTGTCCGCGGCAGTGGGGTTTAGGGAGCACTGTCCACGCCTGGGATCCGGTTGGAAACTTGTCCATCTAACCCTTTCTAGAGCTTTCCTCTCTTCCTCCTGCCTCCTCTGGAATATGAAGTTTACTGTGCTTGGGGTGAGAGCTGTGTGAGTGTGTGTGTGAGTGCAGGGTTTGCTGAGTGGTGCCTGGCTGTGGCTGCACATGGAGGAAGCGCCAGTGCTTCATGGGTTTTTTATGACCAGTAACTCAAGGGCTGCCTTGTTTCTGTATCTCAAGGTCTGTAAATAATAAATGCCATAGGATGTTGCCTGTACACTCTCCTTTGTTACCTGCTCGCTGGTAGGAGGGCTGGGAGGATCATTAGGAACTCCTTAGGGACATTTCCAGGGCAAGTTTCTTGCCTCTTCACGGCGTTTTTGGGTCTGATGGCGAGAAATTGCATTTTTAACTTTCCCTCCCGTTTTCTTTCTGTGGAGAAACGACTGCTAGATGGTCTGACTTCATCTTGCTGCGTGTTTTCGGTTGGAATGCAAGGAAAAATCCCAGCAGCAGCATTCCCAGCATGATGCACAGCAACCCCCAGAGCCCAGCCTGTCCCTCCTCCCCCCGAGCGCACTCGTGTCCGTGTTCCCTCCTTTTTTAAAGAATGTATGGTCTGCTTCCTCAGAGTGTTCCCATCTACAAATGGTGCTAAATGTGGGGTTGGCAAGGGACCTGTTCCTGGTTTCAGTGCATAAAACACATTTGGGTTGTTCCAGTTCCTTCTTTGCTCCATCCCCCGTGCCTGCGGAGCTGTCCCGGATCACACAGTGAGCTCCTCCCTGGGTACTGCAGTGGGGTTTTATTTCACATCTGTTTGTTGTTCCCATTCTCACAAACAGGGAGATCCCAGCTCGGGCTCTTCACACAGTTTTTTGCCTTTAGCACCAGTGCAGTGAGGTCAAAGCCCAGGGCTCATCCCAAACCCGGGTCCTGCTGAGGCTGAAGTCATCCCTGGGATCAACCACAGTGTCACTGTGTGACAGCCCAGAACTCGGTGAAAACTGGGGCAGAGGGATAGAACCCAACGCTGTGAATTAGAACCTTTATTTAAAATAGAATTAAAATCGAATTTTAGTTAATTTAGACTATTTGGGGTTGTCCTCTGACCACAGTTACCTTGGATTTGTGTTGCTCTCTGTCTGCCTTTTGCCAGGCCTGGTACTGAGGAGTTTTTCTGCCTCCAGAGTTCCTTTCCCTTTGTTGTAACATGTTAAATTAATGTTTGTTTCCCCTTGGTTTTCAAGCCCACATAGTATTATTTTTGACAGTGCAATAATATTTGAAATAGTTGCTTTAAAAGCCATTTCTTTATAATTCTGCTGAGCTGGGGGGTGTTGAGTGCACTGGATTTATCCTGAGTTCCTGTGGAGCTGCTTGCAGCCAGGGAAGCAGTGCTGGTCCTGTTCTTCCATCCTGGACACTCAGATTGAACTGGTCAAGGAGAGTGTTTGACCATAAAACATTGCTCATAAATAACAGGTTTTTGCAGAGACTATAAAATCCTTCAGGTCTGCTTCAGATTTGGTAGAATTAAGCAGGACTTTAAATGTATATAAGGTAAACTGCATTGAAAACGCTGAAATTGTTGATTTAACCCACTAAGGATTCCAGTTATAGCAATAATAACCTGATTTAGTTATTCCAGGGCATCTCTTGGTAGGACACGAGGAGCTGCATGGCTGTATTTGCATGTTTTTATGTGGAGAGGAGAAGAAATCATGGAATCATGGAATGGTTTGGGTTGGAGGGACCTCAAAGCCCATCCAGTGCCACCCCTGCCATGGGCAGGGACACCTTCCACTGGCCCAGGTTGCTCCAAACACTTGGACACTTCCAGGGATGGACCAGAATAAGAAATCCATGGGTCAGGTGGTTGTTTGTATAAACATCTTTCAATGGCAGCATTCAAAGCACTTAAAGCTGCCAAATGTTTTATTCTCATTCCCCAGGCAGTGGGACTGTTAAATCCCAGAGTGGTTTGGGTTGGAAGGGACCTTAAAGCCCATCTCATCCCACCTTCTGCCACGGGCAGTTCTTAGGGAATCATGTCCCTTAAAATCATGCCATCCCCATTTCCCATCCAGGTGCTGCTTGTCCTGTCCCTGAAGTGCTTTGGGTAGAGGAGGATCAGACACAACAATCAGTGTAAATCTGCTTATAAAGATCAATAATCTCATGGGAATGTCTGTCTGCAGGTTAAAAATTAAGGACCTTCAACTAAGATGTCAAAACAACTCCAAATTATCATCCAGTTCCAGTTCTGACTCTCTCCATTTATCTGTGAAGCACTTTACAACGGGTTGCAGTGAGTTTATACGTGCACAAACAGCTCCTGAACTTCTGCTTTTGTTAAGATACTCATCTTTAAGCTGCTTGACAGTCTCTCTTCCTAGGAATGCTTTCCTTTCAGGAAACCTAGTTGGAATTTCTTGAGGGGTAAATGTGTCCAGTCCACATTCCAGACAGGTTTTTTCTGGGGGGGTAGCTTGTTATTTCCATGAAGTTCCCATCTGTAAGTCCCCATCCACTGTATGAAACAATGCAAAACGCCCCAACTTGCCTTAAATTATTCCTCTTGACCTGAAATGCAGAGAACTGGATGATAATTCCTACTTTTTTGCCTTATGAGCTGTGCTGTATTTTAAACCCAAGGATTTTTAGCAGGATTTAATAACTGTACAGAGAATAATGTACCAAATGGGACTCAGACTCCTTTGCCCTGGAGTCAGAGCTGATCCCTGTGGTTTGTGCCCGTGGAGTGGTTTTACCTGTGCATCTCTTTTCTTTTTCTTCAGCAGCAACGTCCCGAGTTTGTTCTTGTTTACAAAAGTGGCATTTGAGTCCCACAGGAAAAGAACTGTGAGGTGTTTTGGGGTCTTTGGTAGTTCCCAAGGTGTTGCTCTTGTGCTCTGTAAGTATTTGTTGTAACTATTTCATTCAATGTGAAACCATTTAGTAAATAAACCTGGGGAAAAACTCACTTGTCTGATGGTTGGTCGTGGAGCTCCCACCTCCATCCCTGCCACACTTCCATGCTTCCTGGCCCTTCTCCCCACTGTTTTTCCAGGCAGTTTGTGAGCAAATATCTTTTTTTGTTTGTTTTTTTTTTACCCACACACTGCTTTCATTTACTATTAATGCACTTCCACAAGCTCCAGCACACACAGGATCAGAGCACACTGACTGTAAGGTGGATTATTGCTCTACAGAATGAGACATTCCCATGCTGAGGAAAGGTTGGGAGAGCTGGGATTGTCCAGCCTGGAGAGAGGCTTCAAGGTTCCTGACTGTGGCCTTCCAGGTACTGAAGGAGCTACAGCAAAGGTGGAGAGAGACTGTTT